ACGCACGCACGCGCACGCACGCACGCACGCACCCACCCACCCACCCACCCACCCACCCACCCACACACACACACACACACACACACACACACACACACACACACACACGCTTATTTATTTATTTTTATTTTCCCATAGATGATGGGGCTTCAGTGAATCGATTAATTGGATGTTTATTAATTCTGGGAATGCTTCTCCTATGGTTTGATTTTTAGAGAAAAATGGTAATAACTGTAGAAAAGGAAGGCAAGTAGTAATGTTTATAGTAGGAGATAAGTATTGTTATTCAAACGGTGTCTAATCCCTGAGACAGGTGACGTGTTGACATGTAACGTCTCGATTTCCTCCTTAAAACTTCCCATTCCCTCTTTGCATGATCTATCAGCTGGTTGGAGGTTGTTTCATTAGCCGTTTCTCAAACATTGACAATATTCGGCTAAATATTTTCGTCGGGTTTGAGCCATGTCCCTCGCTTGGCTATCGAAGGACTTCCACGTGGTATTAGGCAGGGAACTACTTCGTAACTACCCTGGACGTGTGTATAGGGCAGTTATCCTCATTGTTTCTGGGAAGGGCCAAGACATAACAGTGTACTGATGGGAGGATTTTTTCCCCTAACAATTCGAATATTTGTCTAAGAGGCATTTTCCCTGTTTCGCCAACATCATGTAGGGAGATCCACCCCCACATATCGCAGGTTACGCGGCCGCTCCTCCACTGTCATATGTGAAATGTGAATAATATAGAATCTGAACATGAAATATTGACGTGTAGGAAACTGTTCTGTATAAACAAATATCTGTATAATAAATTGAAATAAACTGATTTGAAAAGGGCTTTATACTTTTAATTCCTTCAGCAATGAAGCTTTTCGTATACTTCCGGTGTATTTTTGTCGTTATGGATGCCCTCCTCTTCCCACCCTATCTGCCTGTATGCCATCGTCCGGGAGATGCCCAGCTCTCCGAGTATATCACTGCTAAGAAGTTGCTTTCCCTCACCCACTGTAGCAGCCTCCATTTCCAATTACAGCTTTCTTTGCGTCTATCCTGAAAAAGGTGTCAGCTTGGCAGCCTCGTTTTGACCTCGGATTTCCTATGTTATTATGACGTCTAAGACCATCGGACAAGTATTTTTTCAGCGTATGTTATGTTTAGCGGCGAAATAGATATTCAGGAATTGCTGTATATTCACTGGCGTAAAAGATATGAAATATACGACTTCGTGTTATTTTCTACATTGTTCCTCGTTCTGTAAACTACTCAAGTTCCAGATGAACAAATAAACATTTCACACACCGGAAAATTATTACTTCTAGGATAATGTATAAAGAGAATGATTTTGATGTAAAGGTTTGATATGCTAATATCATCTACACCTACGCATATACTGCATTACATTGCACAGACAACTAGAAAGAAAATGGATTGATGACAATAACAACTGACAGCGAGAAATTCCTATTCAATTAGAATGAACAAGATATACAACACAGTATTGAGAGTTCCAAGATTTTTGCTATTCACTCTCCTTGGAACCACCTAGCTAATGGTTGCTTGAGTTGAAACAAGCAAACATGCAATTTCTCGCTCAGCTCTTCGAATGTGGATGCAACGACTCAAAGAAAAGCCAAGATATATATGTGTGTGTGCATAATAATAGCTGATTATACATATTCTTTTCGTAACTCATTACCAAGCATGACTTCGTATTTCCATAGACGACACACACACACATCAATAACGAATCCATATATATTTTAACCTAATTTTGATTTTGTTCATGCTCTATATTGAATAATCTAATGTAGCATGGTTTCTGTTTATTCGATAACTCTGATTCAGGCATAAAGATTTTAAAAAAAAATCATTAGATCGATTAGCCGCTACTAGATGGTGCAGGTATCAAAGGTATTTACAGAGGTCTCAGGGATTTTACAGAAATTTATTTAGGTAATTTAGCTACCATGCATAGGTGTTTAAAGCATGAAACTTTTTCATGTTTTAAGAAATATGTATCTATAAATGATACCTCTTATCTTTCGATAAGCAAACAATTCCAGGATATCGCATTTGAAGAATATCCAACAACAAAGTCAACGATGATTAATATTACATGCTTTGTTTTTATCACTTATTTGAAGAAAGCAAATATCAAATGGCTTACTTAGTTTCAAAAAATATTAATTAATACACTCATTGGTTACTTAAATTCGACCAATCACATTCGTTGTTACAAACTACCTAGAGTTTTAGCATTCACAAAAATGCTATTTACGCTATGTTTACTTCGACTGGTTGCCAGAGGAACAAAAGTGGGACCCAGAAAGTATACTGAAATATAATTCCGCAACTGTACATTGTAGGAGAAGTCGCTCTTTCCTACCATTTAATTTACATATTTTTGGAACATGTTTAAAAAATTGCGGGCCTGACCGGGATTTGAACCCGGGACCTCTCGCACCCTAAGCGAGAGAATCATACCCCTAGACCATCAGGCC